CTTTTGCTCAAGACTCTGTAAATGGCCAGATTTAATGAACCAAATCAAAAACATTTTCTAGGGTGCACGCCAATGAACCCACCTAGAAGTGACTGACTCTTTACCTCAGTATTTTTTGGGTCCTGCGTAAGGCCCTGCATGTTTAGTTTAAGTTAGCCACAAAGTCAAGGTTGTAGACCCCTGATCTGAAAGATGAAAAATGAGATCCTATCTTAATATGGATGACGCCCTGGACACCGAAAATAATTTTATCCAACAGAAAATCGTAGCATAAAAGATTGTCACTTAGTGCTCATTTTGAGAATATCATTTTCTGCAAGAGGGTTTGCATAGCTCTGCCAGAGATAGACGCACAGAGAATCACAGAATCGGGGCAGACTCAGACATATAAAATCAGTTCATCATTTCAATAAACAGAATACCTTATACATAATTGGAGCTCAGAAAGTAAAATAGCGATCCTATTTTGGCCTAAAAAAAATCCAAAAACAACAAGGGAACCAAATAACAAAAACAAAAAGTACAGCTTATAACGCTCCCCTATATATGATAAATAATAAAAAACTTTGACAAGCTTCACGAAACACTCTAACCTCTCACTGCTTCAACCAGCCGTCCCACAGTCCCATTTCATTTTTATTATATTATTTTATTATGTTTATTATAGTATATCTTCTATCTGTTCTCTTAAGACCAGGCTGGTCATGAAGTGGGGCTTTTCTCTAAAGTCACGCCTTTTTTTGTTTTAATTGTACTTTGTATAATCCGACACAGTTTCAGTTTCTAGTGCACTAAGAGAAAGGTGAAAAAAATCTGCACAGATCATGAAAGGCTCACACTATACTTAACAGAAGGCTCCCTATTCAGTTACTTGACATGAAAAAAAAATTGTATCGGAGATTACCATTGTTAACTAACCTAAAAGATAACAGTAATTTCTAAATAGTTGTCAGGTATTATGCACTTGAAATTAGATAATAGAGTTGGTTTGTCTTATTTTTTATGTTTATTTACCGTAATGCAAATCATCTCATTTGATCTGCACATTGTGTCACCCACCTACTCTAATTGAAGGAAAATTAACTTACTTAACATTTTAATTTTTTAGGTCGGTTTTCAGTGCAGCTTCTATAACTTGAGCTATAGGACCTCTTCTACACGGGCATTGGCCCGTGTTGACCCCTGTCTAGAACCGCTAATACCAGTTTGCAATTCATTGAATGCAGTATATAGCTGTGAACTGTTTTGTAATTTTACAGCTTGAAATGCAAAGAAATAAATTTTGAATGATGCATTACTTCCAGCAGATAAAGCACCACAAAAATCATTCTGTGTTAAGTTTGTCTCTGCAGTTCAGATATGAGACTGAAATCTGTCAAATTGGCTGCGTTCGATTAAAAAACAGGCTGGTTGTTTGCTCATCATATTTAGTTATAAGTTAGTCACAATTTAATCAGACTTGCACACAACCACACAGGATAAATGATTGTCCAATGGCTGCAGCGCATTTGCACTTCTTTCAATGTGTTTCTTATTAAATCGGGGGCAGTAACACTTCCATTTGCAAATGTGTTTATTTAGAGTTTAAAAATAGGGAGATACATATATGCTCATTATTGCTGTGGCAAAACAATGAGAAAATCCTTCTGTTGTTCCTGCTTGAAACTAGAACTCTATTAACTATAGTCTAAGTCAATCAAACACAATAATTGAATCTGATTCAGCAGAAATTAGGTCCGATAATTAAGCTCTTTGCCTCGGGAATGACATCACATATGGTCCAACTTTGACTCAGTCAAATTGGATCCACAAATAGCATTTAAACATTGTATTCTCTTCATAAATGTATAAGTATATTGTTTTGTATCCACACATGGCAGCCATATTAGATGTTGAAGTCAGGATCAGTAGAAAACCTGAAAATGAAAATTATTAATCACAAAGAAGAATGAATGTCTGTCTGGTCATTTGGATTATAATTATAATTAATTAACAAATAAAAACAGCTTTACTTTACTTGAACTCAGACATTTTTTTCAAGGCTCAACTTGAAATATTTGTAATACATAAGTCTAAAAGAATTGCATTATAGCACAAACACTTAAAGGGTGAACAACTTCTCCAGAGCATATGTAAAGCTGAAAGAGAGGATGTAGAAATGACATTAAACTAGTGAAACAAAAAGATGATTTTTATAATTAGCATGAATATAACTAAAAGGATTATAAAGAGAGTAACAAGAAACAGAAAGCAAGGAAAATGAGAGTGCTACTGTAATCCTGGGTGTTGGGGAGAAAGTTCAAACATTTTAAGAGAAGTGTTTAACAATCGATCTACTGTATCCTTAACCTGAAAGATCAAACAACCAGAGTTCCCCAACTGACTGTACATTACAAGCTTCTTGATGTTTGCACAGGTACGCTTAGTTGGGGATTTTTTTTTTTTTTGCATCACAGCAGATACTGTGACCATGCAACCTTTAATGGCCACAAGCCCCTGGGCTGATAAAAAGCCATGAAAGCAAACATATAATGCCATTACCGAAGGCCATTCATATAAACAGGCAAGTCAGGGGGTATATGGTAGTTTAGCTTGATTTGTTGAAAGTTCACTCAGTTTCTGAGATTTTCTCAGATTCTCAGGTCACACTGTTGAAACCAACTGAAACCAAAATTTGTGTTCCCTGAGCAGTATCGAAACATTTGAAATGTTCGTCTTTATTACAAAGAGGTGAGGTAAAGTGAGGTAAACTAAGCTAAGCTTACGTAAGGCAAATCACAGGTCACACTGTCTCACAATTGAAACCAAAACTGGTGTGCAGGAAGGTAAGGTAAGGAAAGGTGAGGTAAGGTAAATAAAGTCTCAGGTCACACATATATCACATAGATCTAGATTAGAAAACAGCCTTTTCTAATTTAGATCTCTTCAGCCTCTGTGTTTGTTCCAAAGCATCCCAACAGCATTATCCTGCCACTACCATGTTTCGCATTTTAGACTTTGTGTTGAGGGCAAAATATGGTTCAGCTACAACAAAGACTTCAGCTTTGGTCTCATCTAATGAGCTGGATAATGGTAAGATATGTGAGCTATATGACCACACTCTCTTTTTGTTTCTCAGGTGTTAATAAAATTAACAACAGTTGTACTAGAGGGGCAACAACGACACGACCATCAAAACCGGAATGATTTTACAGGTGGAGGCCACTGACAAATTTTTCCCTCCTCATCTTTTCTGACTCTTTTTCACCAGTTTTTCATTTGGCTAGGGTCACTGTCACTACTATTAACAATGAGAAACAGACTTCACCAGGGTGGCCTGAGGGCCCGACGTCCTCTTGTGGGCCCTGTGCTCATTTTCCACAGAACACTGCAATTGGCAAGTCCGCCACAGGCACGCTGTGCTTTTCACAGATGAGAGCAGGTTCACCCTGAGCACATGTGACAGACGTGAAAGGGTCTGGAGAAGCCGTGGAGAACGTTATGCTGCTTGTGACATCGTTCAGCACGACCGGTTTGGTGGTGGGTCAGTGATGGTCTCGGGAGGCATAGCCATGGAGAGACGCACAGACCTATACAGGCTAGACCATGGCACCCTGACTGCCATTAGGTATCGGGATGAAATCCTTGAACCCATTGTCAGACCCTATGCTGGTGCAGTGGGTCCTGGGTTCCTCTTAGTGCACAACAATGCCCGGCCTCATGTGGCGAGAGTATGCAGGCAGTTCCTGGAGGATGAAGGAATTGATACCATTGTTTGGCCCCCACGCTCGCCTGACCTAAATCCAATAGAACACCTCTGGGACATTATGTTTCGATCCATCCGACGCAACATGGACTAGCCTGCCTTATCATTTTTTCAATGTAATTTTTGGGGTGTCTTTGAATTCAGCCCTCTGTAGGTTGATTATTTTCATTTCCATCAAATGATGTGGCATCATTTTGTTCCTAACACATCACCAAGTCCATATAAGTATAAATAAACAGCAGGATTTTCCCCCATAATTGAGATCTGATGTGTTTTCAAGTGTCCCTTTCATTTTTTTGAGCAGTGTATTTTGTTATTTGTATCTTTAGTATGCCTGTATGATTCATTCAAAGATTCCAACATGGACACTGCATTCTGACTATCTAGCTTTCTAGCATGTAACTGCTAACAGATTGTGCTGCAGCTCCAAGAGTCATTATTCATAGAATCAATTAGTATCTAACTGTAAGAATTTGAAGTATTTTATTCAAACTTCCTTGCTATATAGAGCAGGCAAAAAAAAAAAAAAATCTATATTCAAAGCCAATTTCATGTTATTTTGGCAGCCATAAAATGAACCCTGTTATATTATTTTTGCACTGGAATAAAAATGATTTATTGATATACTCATATAGCACCATCTATGGCTTCCTGTTGCAAAGATAAGCTTTGGTCTCCATAGCAACTATCCATATTATCATCATGCTAACGTGTTTGGCTTCAATATCAAGAAAACATTTTGGTCCCACAAGGACATGAAAAAAATATTTCTGCATTAATTTTCTGTTAATAGCGATATGACAAAATCAAAGTTATTCCCTTTTTACATGTAAGACATTAAAAAAGAGGAAATGTCTGAAGCTTAGAAAATACTTGTGTTTTTATTTGCTAATCTAATGAAAAATTTCCTTTTTCTATGCGACACTAACATATTTCAAGCAAAGGAATTCTATATTATAATTTAGCAATTTGTTCATTTTTGTATGACCATCAACAAATCAGTTGTGATAAACTGAGAAATCAAAGCTTTCATTAACTTTTTGCTGACAAAAAAATAGCAAGAAAACTTACTTTTTATTTCCATATTTATTTTTTAGGCCTAAGACCGGTTAAGCTTTCATTTCTTAAAATGTTTAAATTCTAAGCTAGCGGCCTAAAGGCACAATTGTAAATCAACTAGGCTCTATTTTTCTTAGATACAATCATAAATGTAAAATATTTGATAGGATCTCTATAAAAGCTAGAGACATAAATGTTAGATTTATTCATTTTATTGATTGGTGCCAAATGAACCAAATGGATGACTTGCCAGTAGAACATTTCTGTGATCTGCCTTGGGCTGCAGGATAGAAACACAACCTCATGACTGCAAAGATACGAAGTGTGGTTAAAATACTTATTTCCCTTTGTGAATCAAGCATGAGGCTGAATATATTACAGCATCCTGTGGTGAGAGCTTAATGAATATACAGCAAGGGTCAGCTTGGCTAATAGAAATATATGTACAAATGCATACTTCCTGCAGAAAATCTGGTCTCTTATCTGAGGGCTTAATAGCACATAGCCCAAGATATTGCAGAAGCCAAGATACTCATGACATTGATGGTTGAACAAAAGTCTCAAATACAACAACATAGGGAATTTATTAAGCAGGCGTTCAAAGTAATGTATGAATTTACATCTATAAACCTTTTTGAAACTTGCTCTTAACCATATTACTTTTTCTACAAGTCCCATCAGGTGTAACACAGACCAAGCGTTTCTCTTCGGTTAGTGAGTTCATCATTATTGTCCTTTCAGTCTCCCTAACAGCCGAGCCAGGGATCCTCTCTGTTTGTTTTAGAGACAAAGGCAATCTTTCGAGCCATTTCCATGTGGTAAATGCGTCTGCAGTTCTCAAAGTTCTTCCGCTGTCGCTCTCGACAGGGCTTCTCAAAGTAGCGTCTGCGCTTCACCGTGTCGATGATTCCATCCTGGGTTAGGACCCTGAAGAACATGAAGGGAAAAAATAGGTGAAAACATGTAGGTAAGGAAACACTACATTAAAATTAAAGCCCTGGGAAGCTATACTATAACTATTCCCAATAAAACAACCTCTTTAAAATAAATGTACCTTAACGTTTTTGATTTATTTTCTACTCAGTTTTTGGAAACTTCTAATCAGTGTAATCAGATATAGAAACAATTTATCTGAAATCTTTGACTTTGTGTTTCCCTGGCTATAATTAAAATTGGCACGCTCTTCTTTTGACGACCATCGACCAGAATCAACAAGGACCCCTACAGTAAGGAGGATGGAAAGTAGGGTAAAACAAAAATTCACTACAGTAATCAACTAGTATTATGGCAGGCAGTCATACTGAGGGAGAAAGCATTCCCATACACTACCTAAAAACATCTGAGGTTTGTTTAACTAACTAAAACCATAAGCTTTGGTCGAATTAACCTGGATTTTGAGTTAAAAAAAAGAATGAATATTTGGGAAACAAACATTATATGGTGATTATGAGACTGTGGGCCGGCTTACCTTTCAAAGTCCCTGAAAACCTAAAAGTACTCTAAGAAACACCAGAATATGAACATTAAAAATAAAAATCAACCTCAAATCAATCTTGATTAAATCTTGGTGCTACATTGGATTCCATTTAGGTTTTGGTGCTCACATTTAAAGGTTATTTATTTCATTTAAACTCGATCCAAGGCACAAACTTTAGCAGAGACTTTTATTACTTCCTGAATAATAAACTGCAATAACCTGCCTTCTAGTTTTCTAAAAGAAATCGAAACCTTCCGTAAAACTCAAATGACTTTGCACTTGATGAATAACTTGAAGGTGATATTGACTTTTGAGATAGATAAGGGTTGAATATTTTATTGCATTATTCAAAAATGCTTTTAATGCAAAATTCAGTCAGATATGTCTTGGTTTGAGAAATATCTGCAAGTAAAAACAGAAGCTCACAGTGATGCATTTTTTCTACATTTGGATGGATGGATGGGAAGCCCCACTGTTGTATACTTATGATGGCAAATGTTTTAATACAATTAATTGAGCACTATACCGTTTCTTTATAACAAGAGTCACATCATTACGTCTCCACAGTTCGCTGCATATTTATTATTATTATTAGTTTATAATTTAATCACATGAACGATCATCTTGTGTAACGAAACAGAGGAAACCCGTTAGGTCACTTCTCCTGCGCAGCCGCACTCTTTGACATTGAGCTGATCGCTAACATTTAAGATTCATTTTATTCACCTTTAGTTCCCCTGACATCAGCTAAAGCAACATCAACGTTAACTAGAAAGACTTTAACCTGTTTAAGATCTTGTACGCTGCATCAACGTTACCATCTTGTACCATCACCGTCCGGGCTACGAAGCGTAGGTGCCGCGACATGTTGGAAGTATGTCCTTCCCCTATGTCTTTCCGGAGTGTAACGCCGAGCTGTAAATGGTTCCGGGTTGAAGAATATGGCGGTTAAAAACTACGCTAAATACTATCGCTAGGTGGCGCGTGACTCAAATATCCATTTAATTCCAATGTTATTTGGCAGTTTAATGAAATGATATTCTATTTCTACAAAATATTGTATAAAGTAAGAGTTGTTCAGCAGACAGAACATGACCAATGGAATAGATTTTAGGCACTTGCTTTAAATTATGTTTTTTGATGTTTACTTCTGTTTAGACTGTTTTTGGAATGACATGAAATATTTCAAAAATGTTAAAAAAGTTTTCAAAAGTTTTCCAAATGTCCACTTAAAGGTGACAAATCATATTAAGGATTTTTTTAATTGCTAAAACAGGAAGGAAATTCTGATTTTATTATTATTTTTTGCAACACAATAAATAACAGAGTAAAATAATACATTGAAAATTAAATAAGCTGAGATATACATATAAGGGTGACACGAGAAAGCAAAGGCATAAAGCTGTATAGGATGCAGTATTTTAAATAGCACTGCAAGTTATTTTCGTGATATATCAGTCTATTAGAACATATGCTTTTAAATGATTCCATTTTTTATAGGTTAAAACAAATCTCCTCAGAGTAAAAATAACTATTAAGCTATGCAACTAATATATTATCTATTTTCTGCATAGAAATTAATATCCTTTTATTATCTGAGGTTACAACAACAGTGCTGGTTCTGCAATTTCACCATGTTCCTAAAACACACAATCATAAAAAATTATTAATTCAAATGTGTTACATGTTTGTCCCCCTGTGTTACTGAGATCATGCACATTTATAAATGGATAAAACAGAGCTGTCAAATTTTATCTACAGCTCAATCTCACTCTTTGTAAACATTTCTCAGATTTTTCCCCATGGCTCCCATGATAAGCCGTAAAAATAAAAGATCACAATGAGAGAAACATATTTGTCATAGTAGCAGGAAGTCTAGTTAGTGTACTATCAAGTCCATGATAACTGAACTTTATTGATCTCACATTTTTTACCCCTGCATTTAACCCATCACCATGGGGTGCAGTGGGTTGCCACTGCACCCCATTGTGCGGTGCCCAGTAGCAGTGTGGGGTTAAGGGTCTTGTTCAGAGACCCAGAGTGGCAGTCTGTGGGAGTAGGGCTCCAACTCAGAACCTCAGGATTCCAAGCTCTATGCCCTAAACACCAGGCCCATTATCCTCATCTTCCCCTCAACTCTGAGCTGCTACTGATGTCGTGTTGTCTGACTTCCAGGTTTGCTTGTGATGCCATGCTTGTCAAAATTGCATTTGAGTATTATATGTGTCCCATATTTCTGAGAACCTTGTCATTTGAAGCTAGTTCCGATCTTGCACTAAGAACTATATACTGCCTTTCTTCTGCATGTCTGCGTTCAGAGACACTTACCCAACCTGCATAGATCATATCACGAGTCTTTTTGTGAGAAGAATGGTGTGCCTCATGTTTCCTCATTTGATCCAGGTGTGATGAAACCGTCCTGGCAGAGAGTGAGTGTGAGAGAAAGAGGGAGAAATGAAGAGAGAAATAAAATAATAACAGCGTGAGATGTAATACATTCTTACTTCACATGCATGCATGGATAAATTTAGCATCCATCCTAAAATGCATGGTTTATTGTGTACAAGTGAACTGATAATCAAATACACGTATGGGAAGAAAAAGGTATATTAGAATGCAAAAACCTGGTTCCATAAGCAGGGAGAGTCTTAAACTAATACCAACTTAAACAACATTTTGATTTAATTCCAGTATTAAATTTCCCTTTGGTATGCAAAGGTTCTCAGAATGTATTTAGATTATATAAACCTATCTGTTGTATAGCCCCCTTCCAGTGACTACACAGATTTTCTGTCAGGTTTAGCTCCAGATTCTCATTGAATTATTACAAATCTTTAAGTCGCCTCTATTGTAGTGTTTTATCTCTTGCTTATGATTGGATTCACAAGGATTGGTCTTAATGCTCCAATTTTAATGACAAAAAAAAATTCAAATTTTTTTCTTAGGGACACAGCTGTTGCACCTTTATTGATGGGGGATCATATTGAAACAGCTCTTTGGGGAGGAAAAGTTGGGTTAATATGTGCGTAAATGGTGGAAGTTCCACAGGAAAAGCGTGGACAGGCGACAGCAGCTGCTCTTGTTTCTGGTAACTACCTCTTGTTTTTATTGAGTGTGTGTACAACTGTTGTCGCAAAGTATTTGCCTCCTGGGGGACATTATAAATCCCTTTGAAATGTGAACCCCTGGTGGAACTAAAGCACATGTTAAAAGCCTCAAATGCACATTTCTGTCCAAATGTCAACATCTCTTTGAGATGCATGTTTTAGTCTTTTAACAATTGTTACTGCTTGTCTCAGGTCCTGCAATTAAGTTTGAAAATTATTATTATTATTTATGGCATTTGGACTGATATTTCATTGCAATCTTGGGCAATAACACCCACAAAGAAACCAAGCCTTCCTCCAATCTATGTTTTAAGTACAGCACCAGACCCATTTATTAGGCCACCTGGTATAGATATTAAAACAGCTCTAAGCTGTGGTTATGTTTTACAGCAGAGCCATTCTCTTAAAACTGAAAGAACTGTGTGCATCCATAATTTATTCTGATTAATTTCATTCAATTGGGTTACAGCTGGAGTTGGAGGAGGATGTTCTTTTTCCGGGTGGAACATCTAAATAAGTGGTACTCCTAATTGTCAGTCATTCTGGTGATATGTTTACGTAACGCCGTCCTAGGTCCTCGTCCCCATTTTCACTTATGAGCCTGACATAGTGGAAAAATTGCAAATCTTCTTTTGAAAAGTAAGCTTGTATAAGTAATGCGAACAGCAACCTTTAAACAGAGCGTGCACGAGAAGAAATTGGCTCATGCATGCTCACATGCATGTGTTCAATAGGCGTTCTCTCTCGGGAGCGGGTGCAGGGTTGTACATGTGTATTTTTTTTTAAGTGGAGAGGGCGGGTCATTTAAAAAATCCTCCACTATACTTTTAAATAAATTGCTTTAATTGGTAAAAAAAAAAAAAAAGTACAGGCGATTAAATGAAGTTTAACCCAACATAACTTATTTAACTTGGATAATAAACTAAAGTAAGTTGCAATTTGATTTAATTTCTTGTGACCTTTTGAAGCTATTTATTTTGCAGCTGCATTCTCTTTTTAGTGTATGAAACCCAAATTTAAATGTTGCTTTTTAATGACCTGAAGTTTCATGACCCAATTTGAGTCCCTGACCCATGGTTTGGGAACCAGTAAGCTAGATAATTTATCCATTATCTAAAATGCAAAGTGATCTTTCAGATTACCTCCTGCTGCACTGATGCCACCTGCTGGATATCTTATCTTTTGCTCTGTCTCTACCAGCTTTTCCCACCTCCCATCCTGCAGAACAAAACTTTCACACCGGATCTGATTTCACATTCCAGCTCTTCAACGCCTGCATGCAAGATGGACTGCTATTTATCTCTATTTCTTTTTAACGAATCATTTCTAAATATAGGGTTCTTACTTGTGCATTGTCTGAACAATGCAAGGAATAAAGAATCCTATAAAAGAAACAAAATAGTTAACACTTCTCTTGGCAGCTAATCGACATCAAACGCCTTACTGGAAGTGCATTTTTCCAGCTAGTATCCAAATCTTTCACCACGCTGCAAGAGGTGGAGGGTGCATTTTGGGATTTTGGGGAAGGGGGGAAGTCCCTCCTCTGTACGGGTCTCTGCATTGGCTGGAGCAGCATCAGATTCAGAGGAGCTGTGGGCCAATGGATGGAGGCGCAGATGCAGAGACGGCTTTTTAGGAACAGGCGCACATAGAGCTGAGCGCTCAGACTTCTGCTCTAATCTGCAACCAGCAGCAAAATGGAGAACAAAGTGACAGATTTCTCTGGGAAATGGAAAATGAAATCTTCAGAAAACTTTGAGGAGCTTTTAAAAGCTCTAGGTGAGTTATTTTTCTGTTGCGCACTTTATTACCAGTCTATTAGATATGATCTGATTGCCTAGTTTAATGATCTATCTAGGGTAAAAAAAAAAAAAAGGTGCAGTTTAAAAAGAAAGAAGAGGGTTTTTATTATTTAATAATTGTACCATTTAATGCCAGTTATTTTCTTATTTAATATTCATGGGCAAATATTTTGATCCAGCCCTGTTGTATTTGGTTTTATGTCACCAAATTGTTTTAAAATCTATGTGAATATGATCTTCTGCAGCAGCTCCAATTTGCCTTCCATTGTTATGTGGATATTTATAAAAAAAAAAAAAAAAAAAGAACTAAAACGGTTGGAAAATGTTGCCCAACACCTTATAAGACAATATTAAAAGTCTATGGCAAATTGATACCCTCCATTTCATAAGAAACTTGCATCTTTTCATTAATTTTAACTGTTGAAAGTCCACCGGGTTGTGAAGTAGGCATAAATCAAATGCTAAAGGATATTTCCTCATTTTTGAGTGACTTGCCATAATCCAGGTATGGGTCCCTCTTGCAGGAAACAGAGGTCAAACGAGGGCCACATTGTGGTGTCTTTTAGAGACTCTGAAAATTGCCTGTGGACAAATGTTAGATTAGACTCATCTAAAGCAGCGTCCTCATCATGTGGTTGTAATTACAGCCAATGTAAACGGAACTAAGCCTTGACATGGGCCCCAGCAGCCAACCAGCTCTGAGCCTGACTTTCCTTCTTCGCCTCCCTCAGGCTCTGGGCGATCCTGTGCTTTGTCTGTTTGAGTGTGTTACCTCCTCCTCTAAACTGAATCAGATATCTGAATTGTCTTGATCCCTTTGAATAGAGGCCAAACCACATGAATGATGGCGGCAGAGGATTGGGATTATTTTTCATCACTGCACACTTCAAAAACAAACTGAACATTTAGCATTTATTCTGTTTTAATGGATTTTAGATTTATATATCTCTATAGCCACTCGAAGAAAATAGTGAATTTCTTCATTCATGCACTTCTTAAAACACCTTTGACTCAATGCAATCAATT